CCTCCCTCCCTTCCTCCCTCCCTCTGTGTGTGTGTGTGTGTGTGTGTGTGTGTGTGTATGCGTGTGTGTGTGTTTTGTGCTCTTGCACAGAAGTCAGAGAACACTTGCAGGCACTCTGTTCTTTCCTGCCACCATGTGGAACCTGGAGATCTAATCAGGTCGTTAGATTTAGCAGCAGGCTCCCTTACTCACTGAGCCATCTCACTGGCCCCATGGTGCGTGTGTGAAGCCAAAGGACAGCTTGCAAAAGTCAGCTCTCTCCAGTCACCATGTGAGTCACGGGGACTGAACTCAGGTCCTCAGGTTTGGCAGCAAGCACCCTTACCTGCTGAGTCTTCTTGCAGGACACTGAGGAGAATATCTACTTTCCCGAGGTATAGATGAGGCTGAAGCTGGGTGTGATAATGAACCCTGTAATCCCAGACTCAGAACGACGAGACAGGTGGAATTTGAGGAGAGCCTGGGATCCATAGGGAGTCATAGCCAGCCATAGCCAGTCAGAGTAACACAGTGGAGACTGCCTCACCTACTCCTGATGAGAAGCCCCAGGAGTTGCCAAATGATGCCTACCCACAGAACTTCTGTGATTATTTTTTAAGAATTATTTAACCGGGCGGTGGTGGCGCACGCCTTTAATCCCAGCACTTGGGAGGCAGAGGCAGGCAGATTTCTGAGTTCGAGGCCACCCTGGTCTACAGAGTGAGTTCCAGGACAGCCAGAACTACACAGAGAAGCCCTGTCTCGAAAGTACACTGTAGCTGTCTTTAGACACACCAGAAAAGGGCATCGGATCCCATTACAGATGGTTGTGAGCCACCATGTAGTTTCTGGGAATTGAATTCAGGACCACTGAAAGAACAGTCAGTGTTCTTAACCACTGAGCCATCTCTCCAGCCCCTGAATTTCTATAATTTTATGCTTAGATTTTGATGCTAACTAAACAAAAACCTAATTCTGAAAGGGAACACCAGTCATTCTTTTATAAAATATTTGACTGTTTATTACTTTTTTGTGATATTGTTCTATATACAGCTCAGGTTGGCCTACGACTTGCTATATATATATATAGCCCAGGCTGGCCTCAGACTCATGATCTCCTGCCTTCTCCTTTGGAACACCAGAGTTACAGGCATGAGCCCCCACTCTCAGCTGCTGCTGGGTCCCCTGCCTGGGAGTCTCTGTGGGTCTGACTCTATCTACGTACAGCCATTCCTCTCCTAACCTGACGTCATGGCCATCAGCAACGTGACACAGAACACCAGGCAAAGTGGTAAACACACAGGACGGTCTCATTTCTTTTACAGATGTCAAGGGCTCTACACACATCTGGACTTTCAGACATGGGCCCTTGAGAACCGCGTACTCACGCTCTCCAGCAGGCAGACTGCAGCAGGATTGCCCCGGAAAGCTGTCGCTGTGAACGCATCTGCTATGAAGATTGGGAGCTTCATTTTCCTCGCTGGCTGTCCTGGAGCTCCCTGGCCTGCTGCGAGCCTGCTTCACTTCCTGTTGTTAAGAACTAAAAAAAAGTTAATGTTTTACTCCGTGTAGACATAGTTAATAGTTCTCAGATACAAAATCAAACGATTACTCCAACATACTTTGCACCTCAAGATGTGTGCACCCCTACTTTTCAAAGCCTCTGCATTTAATTTGTTTTAAAATACTAGCTGAATGAAACAGTTTTAACCTTTGAGCTATTCACCCCTCAACCCCAACACATAATCACCCACTGTCCTAGAGTAGCTGACACTTGCTGTGGCCATGACTTTAATAATATTATGAGACATCGGAGAGGTACATGTCTTGCAGTCTTCCTACACAGACATGGTGTGTGTGTGTCTGTGTAGAGGATTAAAAGCATGGTGTGTGTGTGTGTGTGTGTGTGTTGAGGATTAAAACTAGGGACTCAGCCAGATGTGTCATGCATGCCTTTAATCCCAGCACTGAGAAGGCAGAGGCAGGCAGATCCGCTGTGAGTTTGAGGCCAGCCTGGTCTACACAGTGAGTTCCAGGACAGCTGGGGTTACAGAGAAACCCTGTATTGAAGCCCCTACCCTGCAAAAGAACAAAAACAAACAACAACAACAAAAACTCTCCCAAAGAAACAGGGACTCTATCATACTAAGCAAAAGTTTACAACTCCCAAAGTTCCCGATTTTTTCTAAGAGTTGTGGGGGACAATTTCCTCATCAGGCTGCACCCCCTAGCCCGAGACGATCAGGGTCAAGTAAGTCCTCTGCCTTGTAGTATACTGCCGTACCCAGCTCTGACTTTAAATGTGTTTTTAATTAAATTCATTACATAAGAATACAATCCTGCCCTTCAGTGCTTGTTTTTTAAAGATTCCTAGAAATGCTGTATTGCTTCTCAAACCAACAAGAGAGTTCTTTTAAAGGCTTAGGTCTCAAAGGGTCTACCTAATAAGCTGTCTTTCACTATTCAATAAGATGTCGCCAGCCCTCCACTCACAGCATAACCGGTGTCAGCTTCTCTTCCTTAAAGCACTTGGGTTGTGTTTTAGCTCAGGGATGCCCAGGACATCTTGTCAGGACAGTTTCATTCCCTTTGTCTTAAGATTTCCTACAGCCAGATGGCGACAAGTCTCAACTAGAGAAAGATGGTTACAAAGATTCTGGGGGAGAGAGTTTTGCTCTCTGATTAACAGGAACAGAGCTGGGAGAATAGGCTGCCCATCCTTTCCCTTTTCTGAATTTGATGCTAGAAATGCCTGGTCATTGCACCGTGATAAGCAAGGAGCTAGAAAGCTTAGAGACTAGCTATGGGGGAAAGGGTGTGCTTTCTGATGCTGTAGTTAACCTGCTGGATGCCCTGCAAGTGCCCCTACCTCTACACTTCTCGCCTAATACAGAGTACAAGTCTCACAGTTCAAAGCCACTGTTAGCACAAAAACAGCCAGAATAATGATTCTCCAAAGTTGTCCACATTGTATCTCCCAGGAACCCATCAGCATGTTTTGTTACTAGTGAGAGGGAATTAGATTCAATCAATGGATTATTCTGGATTAGCAAACCCAGGTTAAAAACATAAATGTTTGTGTACATGAACGTAATATATAATGTTTCATTTACATAATATATATATATTTGAGGCCACCCTGGTCTACATAGCAAGTTCTAGAGAGACACTGTCTTAAAAAAAAAAGTTTCACATCATGCACCCCAGATTTTTTTTTTCTTAATTAAATCATTTGAAGTGGGAAGACCCACCTCCAGCTCTTTTGCACGATCCACCTTTAATCTGGGCCACACTTCTGCTGGCAGCCTATGGAAAAGACATGGAAGAAGGAAGCTTGCTTTCCTTGCCTGCCTGTTCTTACTCTACCTAGCAACTCCACCCCCCATTAGCATAAGAGCCGACTTCTTCAGGATTCTGACATATATATTGAAGACCAGTTGAGACTTCCAGCCTAGTGGACTGAACAACTTCTGGATTCTTGGACACTCCATTTTTAGCCAACCATTGTTGGATTAGCTAAACCACAGCCTGTAAACCTTTCTGATAAACATCCTTTATGTATATTATTCATATTATTCACTGATTCTATCAGTTCTGTACCTCTAAAGAACCCTGAATAATGCAATATATATATTTGGAATATATGCATATGTATTATATATACATATAATATATGTACATATATTCCAAATTAGAGAGGTTTGAAGATGCTATTCTTCTGGCTTCAAGATGAAGGAAAGCAGCAGAAACTAAGAAACATGGGTAAGCTATAAGAGGTAGAAAAGGCCAAGGGCAAATCGTCACCTCCCATCCCCCAAACCTCCAAAAGGAACAGATCCGTGTTAGTCAGCTCCAGATGCCATAATGAAATAATGAAATACCACAGACAGGTCACTGCTAGCTATGGAGTGAGTTGGAGTCAGCCTGGTCTACATGAGAACCTGCCTCAAAAAAAAACCAACCTGAACTTAGTAACTTGTGTCTGCAATAGTAGCACCTAAGAGCCAGAGAAGGCTCACCATATGTTCAAGGCCAATCAGATCTACATAATGAGTTCCAGGATAGCCTGAACTACAGAATGATACCCTCTCTGAAAAACCAACAAAACTGAGAAAGAGGGGAGGGAGGAGAGAGGAGGGGGAGGAAGAAGAAGAGAAGGAGGAAGAAGAGGAGGAGAAGGAGGAGGAAGAGAAGAAGGAAAAGAAAGGAGGAGGAGGAAGAGGAGGAGGAGGAAGAGGAGGAGGAGAAAGAAGAGGAGGAGAAAAGGAGGAGGAGGAGGAGGAGGAAGAGGAAGAGGAAGAGACCATCATCATTCTGGAAGAATCTGACAGCTCCCAAAAGGATAAGATATGTCCACAATGAATTATGGCTTGGCTTCTCTGCTATTCTAGTAGACCCCGGTAGCAAAGGGATTTTCAAGTAACTTAATTTGGTTTACATAGTAAGAACAGCTTTTTTCTCCAGAATTGTTTGTCAAAAACAGTCAACCAACTGTTTCGTAACATGACTTCTGCCTGAGCTGTAGGCAAGTTACTGAGGCAAATAATTGGCTTTAAGCAAACATTTGTAAGAAGCAGCATGACAAGAGACGCTGCGATGTGTCTATTTTCAAGGTTTTTTTTTTTTTAATGTGTGTGCACGTGTGCATCTATAAAAGGCAAAAAGAGGACGCTGGATCCCCTGGAGATGGAGTCACAGGGGTTTCTGAGCTGCCTGGCATGGGTACGGAGACCTGACCCCAAGCACTCTGCCAGATCAGCAAATACGACCAGACGTGATGGCGCACATCTTTGATCCCAGCACAGAGGAGGCAGAGGCAGGTGCATCTCTGTGAGTTTGGGGCCAGCCTAGTTTACATAGAAAGTTCTAGGACAACCAGGGCTACATAGAGGAACCCTGTCTCAGAACAATAACAAAAATAAACAACAGAACAACAAAACAAAACAAACAAAAACCAGAAAATGCTTTTTAACTCCTGAGCAGTTTTTCCAACCCTGAAAGGGGGTTACCACTGAAAAAAGAAAGAAGAAAAGCTCTGGTGTGTTCCTGGGATTCTAGAAAGCAATGCACAAGTAGACAGCCCTGAATCTAATCTAAAGCCACAAGCAGGAACACCCAAGACGGCCTAAAGTGGTTACTTTAGTTGCCTAGAGACTTTCTGCAAACATAAAGTCAGGAAAGTTCCTGTTAACTTCTCATGTTGTAACAAAGTAACTGGGCAGAACAACTTTAGCTTGGAAGGTTTCTGTTGGCTCCTTCTCAGAGGGTTCCAGTACCACGTGGGTCAAAGGCATGGTGGAGAAGAACAGCTCAGGGTGTAACAGCCAGGGAAAGAGAAAGCATGCACTTGAGGGCGGAGCTTTTATTCCAACCTCCTACCCACTCCTGTAATGGGTAAAGGTAGCTAGTCAGTGATGGTGCATGACTTTAATCCCAGCAATTGGAAGGTAGAGGCAGTCAGATCTCTGTGAGTTCAAAGCCAACCTGGTCTACAGAGAAAGTTCCAGGATGGCCAAGGCTACACAGAGAAACTATGTCTGGAAAAATGGGTGTGTGTGTGGATATTAAGGTCAAAAAAACAAATAACCCAATTAAAAACAGGGTACAGAGGGCTAGAGAGATGGCACAGTGGTTAAGAGCACTGACTGCTCTGCCAGAGGTCCTGAGTTCAATTCCCAGCAACCATATGGTGGCTCACAACCATCTCTAATGCAATCTGATGCCCTCTTCCTGTGTGTCTTAAGACAACTGCAGTATACTTATACAAATAAAATAAATAAATCTTAAAACATACTTTTAGAAAATGGGGTACAGAACTAAACAGTTCTCAAAAGAGGAAAAAGTGTCTAAGAAACACTTAAAGAAACATCCTTAGTCATCAGGGAATTGCCAATTAAAACTTCTTTGAGATTTCAAATCTTAGAGAGGTCAAAATGGCTAAGAGCTAAAATCAATAAGACAAATGACAGCTCATGCTGCTGAGGGTGTGGAGTAAGAGGAACACTCATCCATTGCTGTGGGGGTACAAACTCGAACAGTCACAATGGTAACCAGTGTGGCAGTTCCTCAGGAAGCTGGGAATAGATCTACCTCAAGATCCAGCTTGACCACTCTTGGGCACCTAGCAAAAGGGCTCTACACCCCGCAACAGAGATGCTTGCTCATTCATGTTCACTGCTGGCTATTCATCATAGCCAGAAATTGGAAACAGCCTAGCTGTCCATCAACTGATGAACAGATGATAAACAGTGGTACATGTATACAATGGAATATTATTCAGCTGTTTTTTTTTAAACAGTCATGAAATTTAAAGATAATTGGGTGGAGCCAGAAAAACATTACCCCGAACGAGGTAATCCAGAACCAAAGAGACAAATATATGTATTTCCTTATATGTGGGCATTATTAGCCTTTAAGCTTTTGACAGGCATACCACAATCTGTATAATCACAGAGGTTAGGTATAAAGGAGGAAACTAGGGCAAAGGGCAGGGTCTCCCAAGGAAAAGGAAAAGGCTTT